ACCGCCCAGACCAAGAGGAGACAATCTCACCAAAAACCTAAATCCTACGATGGCGACACCAGGTCAAAGGAATGCGTGGTTAGATAGAAGAATAGCCTTCAAAAAACCGGTTTCAACCTTGAGATACCAGGGGGCAACCCATTGTATACTCGTCTCCCTTACTTCTACATGCGGGGTTCTGTAGAAGCGGACCGACTAACCTACCAAGCAGAGATACTTGCCATAACCCTTGCGGTGTATCAACAGTTTTGCCAGAACTCCAATGTAAGTACATCGAGTTAGCGAGTCATCAACTCGAGGGAGGAGGGACATGGTCAGGTCCTCACAATAGGAATTGACCTCAAATCCAAGGAATAGAGAAAGATACATTTATCTTCTATTAAAAATTCAGGACAACACCGGTATTAGGTCTATGGACAGACCAAGTTAAAGAGGTGGATAAAATGGAGACTGATCCTCCAACCTCCACCTCAAGGGTACCTCAGTCGGAACTAAGTGTCAGTCCAGGAAAAACTGAGTTAATGCTATTTACCATCAAATCTAAGGTGCCTGTTTTTGCGCTACCAAGACTCTACGGTACTACGCTGACATTATCATTCAAGGCTCTGTATTTAGGTACAATTTTTGACCCGAAACTTAACTAACTAACCAACGTAGAAGAATATAAACTAGTAAAAAGAATAAATAAATAAAAATATAGAATAATAAAAAATGCCTACGTTGCACTCTACATGTTTAAAAAAAGTTATAGGTAAAAAGTGGGGACTCCAACCGAGTATGGCTAAATGGATATACATTGCCATAGTGCGACATATGGATCCCTGGTATGGTGGCCAGCTTTGGAGAAGACAACCAATATTTCCAAGCTTGGAAAAGTACAGGGAGTGCGTGTGTGTGCATTACAGGAGCATTAAGATCGACGCCCACAGATACTCTAAAGGTGCTCTTCTACCGCCTCCCATTTTATTTTTATATTAAAAATCTAGCCTCTAGTAGTGCAATCAGGCTCAGAGAAACTGGTTGCTGGACGGAGAAACTCTACGGTCACATCAGTATTCTTGGAAGATTACCGAAGGATATTATTGCTGGACCATCAGATACTAGACTGGACTAGACTATCTGACACCTAGGTTGGAACTTGGCAAGAACTTTATAGTCAGAATTCCAACCAGAAAGGAGTGGGAGTGAGAATGGAGTATTTTCCAGGCAGAGATGGAAGGCCTGCGAATGGTTGAGCGAGGAGACACCTTATTGGCGAAAAACTGCAATAATCACTGACAGCCAAACAGCCATGTCGGCGCTGAACTGAAAATAGTAAAAAAAAACGTCTATGGCGAACAGTAGATGAAAAACTTTAAGCACCTGCAGGACAGCCAGGAAGACTTGGCCCAAATACGACCGAACAAATCGGGACAGCTCATAACTAAGTCGCGTAAGGATATCGCTAGGCTTATACGGCGGTATATACGGAACACGGGCCAATTGGTGAACATGCGGCTAGAATGGCCATCCCTTTTAACGAAGTTTGCCGAAGCTGCAGGGACTTCATTTTGTATACTTACATTGTATAGGACCCGCAACTGTTTCCTCGGTGGTTACAGTTTTGTAAATCTTGAAGATGTTGCCGGGAAGAGCATAACGGAAGTCACCCGTTACCTTAATGCCACCAAATGGTTATAAACAGTTAACAGTCCAACTTTTCCATCCCTAGGGATAGGGTCTCAGATTGAGTGGTATCAAAACGGCAATTTTGCTAATTGGAGTTCGACAAGCGGTTGCACTCGCCACTTCAACCAACCAACCAACCTCATCCGGAGACTAGCTCCTCGACTGTAAAAGGCACGGAGGGCTAAACCCGGAACGGTGTATACTCGTAAGAGGTAAATGTCCACTCCTCGGAGGATGAACAGCTGTTGTCAGAGGAGGATAGGAAGTACTCTTTCCCCCTTGCGACAGGAAGTTCCCCATGTATGAGAATTTATAGACTGTATGATGAGTTACAACTCAAGAAAGGAGACAATAGATCTTTAAGGTCGCGGTAATTACCCCCCTTTCACTCATTCTGCATTCTTCTACAACTGGTCAGATGTCAAAATGTCAGAAGTCAGAATGAACCTCTGCCAGTCTCAGAATGACCCTCAATAAGACCTACTAACTAAAACTAAGAGAGAAAGTTTTTTTAGTCCTGTTTTAATTTATACCCAACTATTATTTAAAAATAACCAGTTTCGTCTGCCTTCTTATGACCACTCTGTTGTTAAGTGAATCTAATATTGAAACAAATTAACGAAAGTAAAATGTCCTTAAACTGAATACATCATTTAGATGCGTAAGTATTTTGACTAATAAATAATTCCGGGTATTGCCTTTTAAGCATACTTAAACAAAGCCTGTTTGAAA